TTGCTGTCAGTATTTTATAGTTGTCAATTGGTATGAGGAAGACTCTTTTATGAGTCATCCTTGTGAAACTTACCTCAGATCCATTTTGAGATAATATATAGCAAAGCTTGTCTCTGTGGGTGCATTTCTAACTCTTTAATTATTTTTGTCTGTTTATTATTATTATTACAAAATATTATAAATATAAGCACCTGAGAGTCTAAATTGACATTGGCTGCTGCTAATGCAGAATAGTAACCGCCTTGGCTCAGGCAAAGAGTAGTCAGTGTGGCAAGAACTGTATAAAATTGGTCTGTTACACTGAGAATTTACCACCACACACATTGGAATGAGTTTGGTCTTTAGTTCTTGACTGAAATATTACAGAATTTTGCTCTTATCGCTACTTGCAGAGAGTGGAAATAAATAATACCAAACGTAAGACAAAATTAAAGATAAATCTTTCTTAAAAGACTGTTCTGCTGTGTCTGCAGATGCAAATGAATTGAATAGTTGGACTTTCTTTTCTTTGGAAAAAGACAAGGGGAAAAAAGCAACTGAGCTGTCATCTGTACGTTGTGAAATACAGTTCCACTGATCTTCTCATTTTGGTTGCTGTGACTGCCCATATCCAGGACTGGTGTTATTCAAAGTGGATATTTATAGAGTTGTATAAATACACATGGGCTGTAGGTGGGTTGTTGTACTGGTACCATAATGAGTTGTAGTACTGCTTTCAGAAAAAGAAAATTGTCAGGCTGTGCATGCCCATAATCAAGCTTTGTCTTGGAGACATGGGTTTAGATGTTAGTAGTGGAAGTAGGACTAGGAGTAGTCAAAGCTCGAAAGCCATACAAATTGTTTTAAAGCCCACACAGTTTAATTCTGAATTCCTGAGGCAGTAGTATGAGTGATTTATCAGTTTTATCTGTGACAAAGTTAGATTGAAAAGCTGACAAAATTGATGAATTCATTTTTTAATACAGTGAATTATGCTTTGTATTGTCTTCTGGCTTTTCATATAGAAATACTGCATCAAAAGCACATCAAGAAATACGCTCTGCAGATCATCTTCTGCTTCAGAAAGACTTTGCAGTTTTACTGTTAAAACTGTAACATTAAATACCTTCTATTGACTACTTAGTGATATAATTTTGATTATTCTTACATTCCCAGTGCTGATTTATTTCACCTTGTCCTTTCTGAGTCAGTCTGTTGTTCTTTATGCTGTATTCTGAAAGATTCTAGAAAGCTCATTGTCTACAAAAATCCAGTCATGTTTTACCATTGTTTTAAAGTGCTTTGGCTCCATTTTCTTTGTACTTCTTTCTGTTCAGAAGATTTTAGAAGAAATACTACATAGAAATGAAGAAAATTTCAGATTAATGCATTCCCTGTCAGATCTCTTCTGGTGCCTGTCAAACCTACAGTGGTCAATTGTTTTGTGTTGTAGAATATATATATATAGAGAGAGATAAATTATATCTCTAATGATGCAGTAAAGATTTAGTGGGAAGACAACATATATTAACCCATGTAGAAATGCCTGCAAAATAAGTACAGGATTTAAAAGAATTTTTTCTTACATTGCTTTTAAAGTAAGAGTAAGGTATTTACTTACATTTGAAGGTTTCTTACATAGCTAATGCTGGCTTTCACAAAAAATGCATGCATTGTTTTTTTCTACTTCAATTCAAGATGGAACTTCTAATGTTTCAGGTTTTTGAAATCAAACAGGGAGAAACTTTGACTTCTAAGAAAACTGATAGGGAATTGCGGATCCTGCTAAAAACTTCTTACAAGAGTGAATTTGCTGTGACACGATAGCCTTGAAGGAACATTTAGGTAGTGGGACCTGATATTGCAGTCATGAAAACTGGGAATAGCAGAGAGCTCTGGAAAGGTTTGGCAAGTATGCGGGGGAACTATGGCCTTGCTGGGTAGAATCACGTTATCCACCTGCACGTGCCATGCTGGTGAAGAGCCCAGCACAGCGAGCAGAATGTGGGCAAAAGCTGTGGCGTGCAGAATCTGCAGGCAGGGAGGGCTGTGGGATCACCCAGCTCACAGCCATGTGCTGTTGCTTTCCTCCATGTGTTTAGAGACTGGCAGTCCCCAGGTCAGTGTGAGTCCTCTCCACACAGAATCGCCGAGGCTGGAAAAGAGATCACCTAGTCCTGCACTGATAGATTTATGGTAGGATAGAGTCAGGCTGATTAATGCATCTAGCAAGAACTTTTTGAATGTTTTTCTTGATAGGCAGCAGGCAGAAACTGAACACAGTTTCCAATGGGAGATGGGAGGTGTAAGGAAGAGATACTGATGGCTCATCATACTTGGAGATCTGCTAATCAAGGGGGGCACTGGGCAGAGTGCCCTCATGCCTCAGGGGACCTGAAGAACATTACTGTATGGCAATTCCAAACCCATGGTATTTGGAAAATATTACCTGGGTCTTTTTTTTTTTTTTTTTTTTTTTCAGTCAAACCAAATTTCTGTTTAGCACTTTCTCCATTAGTTTTATAGTTTCTTCTGAGTTGCCTTGAAATTGTTTAGAAATGGCAGTTTGCTCATCCAGTGAAATGAATGTTATTAACAAAACTGCATTTACCTCCAACCTTGGCGCTAACACCTTTCACCTGCAGCTGGAAACAGTTAATGTAGATACAAAACAGTTGGGTAATTGGTAGCAGATGGCAATTATCGAGCTAGTATGAAAGATTTTGTTGTCTAATGGCTTGAAAAGGGCCAGGCTACAATCTATTTTTCCTATTGTCCATGATAGTTAAACTTCAGATTAACTTTTGGAGGCTTCTTATTTGGTTGTATTTTTTATGATTTGCAGTTTAGGTAGAAATCTGGCAAAAGAAGTTAAAATAAATCGCTATGCACCATTTTGTTCTGGTGGCTTTGCAGGTAAATTGATACACTCCCGAGGACAAGAAACATGTATTTTTGCACTTAAAGTACTTTGCCATTACTCATGAATTTTGCATGGCAGTGGATTCCAAAAGCCAGCATATAAAGGAGAAGCTAGACCTGACTGAATGCTGAGTCAAGCCTCAGTCTGTATTTCTCTCTGCTATTAATACTCTTGCCACTGTTATAATGTACTTTTTCTTTCTTCTTTTAGCTATTTACAGCTAAGTATGGATAGGGGAGTTTTTCTGACACAGTAAAACTTATCTAGGAAATAATATAAGCAGCTCAAGATTGCTGAAGTTATTATTTGTCTGCTGGCATAAGCAAAGATACAAAATTGAAGTTAGAAATGTGTGGTGGAAGAGTTTACAAAGAAAGCACAAAGAGTCCAATGTAAGTGAGAGCTGAATCCAGGCACTGGTCAGGGCAAGCACTCATTCCCTGGGCCCATTCAGCTTGTGCCAGCAAGGCTGCTGCCAAACCTTTGGGAAGTTTGCTCATCTTCCCCAGAAGATGTTTACAGGGAATAGAAGATATGCCAGTGGAAGGTGATGTTTCACTGTCTCCTCTTGCCTTGGTGTTAAACAGAACATGTCAGCACAAAAAGTTTAATGCATTGTTCCCAACTTGAGGATTTGTGGTTATATTGGTTTAAGCCTGCTGTGAATGATGAAACAGGTTTTCCATCAGCACTGCTTTCAGATGAAATGTCAGCAATTCTTGCAGAAAGTGTTTGTCTCTTGTTTTTGCCTGTCAACTTCTGTGAACCAGTTCTGTGCTCAAAGTACCTGACTCCTGCTTTTGTCCCAGGCAAGTGAGTAGAAATTTCAGTAGTTTTTTATCTACTCCAAAATAAAATAATCATAACAGAAGTGATCACGAAGGATGGTGAATTATAAACTGTCTAGGCTATAACAGTACTAAACATGTGAGAATTAATGCATAAGGGTGGTACTGAAAGGTTTTCAGTTTGGCATTCTTGGTCACGATGCTCTGACAGGCCTCTCTGCAGTGATCCATTCAGATAAGGTGAAACTGTAATTCTCTGAGAGGAATCAACAGCAGAGCAGGGATCTGCTTGCAAATATGCACTGGGAAACTGAAAGCCCTCTAATTTTCCATTCTGCTTATTCCTCTGAAGAGATGAACTTTCCTCCCACACCTTTGGCCATTTACTGATCACCTCTACCTGCAGATGTAACAGAGCTGTGCCTACCTAAAACAAATAACTGGTCCAGCATGTACCATTCTGGTGCTGGAAAGGGTGCTGGCCTCTGCATTTTCTGTACTCTGGAGAAGGGCAGCTTCTTTATGAGATCTTGCCTGCAGTACTATATGGATTGTCCATGGTGTGTTTTAGTGTTCCCTGTGTTGGGGAATAAAAAATCACCAGCTGCCCACTTTTACCACTGCTGTGTCTTTTGACCTAGGCAGAGCAGTATCAGTCCAACTGCAGTCCCTCAGTCGAGTTTGATGTGGGCATTATGTGTGTTGCCATCCAGCAGATCACCTGGTGTCTGAATTGTTAAAAATAGTAGCATGCTACTGGAATAGTTACAGGATCTGTAGACTGAGCTAACAGAGAGGTACCAAATGATGAGTATCAAACAAAGGAAATATAAATTTTGGAGAAAAAAATTGTACATTTAAAATTGCATTAAATTGCTCTCGCTGTGCATGTGTTTATAGTACTTCACTATTTTCTAAGAGTTCTTATCTGAAAATAGATTAGTGAACTGGCTATGCATATATCAGTGCTTACCAAGACTTTCTGTTATTGTGCCAGATCTTAGCAAAACACAAAAACAGACTGAGAGAAGCAGACCTCGAAGGGAATGTGTGGTAAATCATCAGTAGCAGAAGAGGCTTGGCCTTCTCCCCCATTCTCAATCTGAAACATCTGTCCTGTCTTTTCATACACAGACTGGATTTTAAGAACTGGGAAGGATCAGGATGTTTCTTTTCATTCTGTTCTTTAATTCCAGCCTCTATCTTTACATATATAAGATTTTTTTTACCAGTAAAATTTTGTTGTTTGTTATGCATCATCTGGAATTTTCAACTCTCTCACTGCTATGTTCTTAACTTTTTCTTTCTAGAGCCTGTGTTATCTTGGGTGTCATATTCCTCCTATCATCTATATGTATTGTGATCAAAGCTATTCACGATCTTGCAAAGAGGGTTCTTCCAGAAGTGGTAAGTTGATTCATGTTCTTTGAAGTATTCACTTTATCCCTCACACTGCCAGTGAGACAGAGAAAGGCCAAAGTCTCCTTCTAGTTTTTAAGGTTTTTATAGGCTTGACTCCACATTTTCTTCTCTACGGTTACATCTACAGGCCAAGTCTTTTTCAGCATAATCATTTAAAACTTTTATACAGGACTGCAGAAGTTTACTTAAAGTGAGGCAGTCTCTCTGGGCATAATGGAAGTGGTGGAATTTTGATAGGAGAATCTTTCCACAGTTTAGTACTATTTCATTATCTTAATTTGGAAAAAAGCTTTTCTTTTCCCCCAGCTCTTGCCTTGCAAGTAGCAAGAACAAAAGAGGTAAAGGGAGAATGCTGGGTGAAACAGCTGACTTTTCAACCAGCTCACCATGGAGCATCACAAAGGGTTTTTCTTCTGCTCTCTGCTTTGTGTTGGTTATGAAAGCCAATCCCTACCTGGCCTACAGAGCAACTTTCCCCAGGAGCCCTAATCTCAGCTCTGCTCTGTCCTATCCTCCTTGCTTCCTTCCAGCAGTGGTTATTAACTTCCCTGAGCTCTATTCAGCCAAATCAGCTGCTCATTGGAAAAGCCATTTGGCAGTGGTTCCACTCCCAGAAGACTGTTCCTAAAGTGCCCCAAAAAGTTAGGCTGAGATTTAGTTATTGTATAAACTACCTGACCTGGGCGTTTTGCATTCAGCCTTGAAGTATTGTCTATTTGTAATGTCTACAGACTTTTATGTCAGGGCTTCTCCCATACGAGTATCACTCTTCACATATAATTGCAACTCCTTACTTTTGTCCAAGAGGTGGAGGCAGAGCTGGGGAGGGGAAAAGAAAAAAAAACTAAAATGAAATTTGAGTCCATTACCATGTTAGCAGTGCAGATGACCTACTGGGTGCTGTATTGTCATGGCAACTTTTGAAAAACTGGCCAACAACAGAACATAGTTTTCAGTAGCATGGTGAAATTTGAACAACCACAAGTAGCATAGCTAAAGCCTATGAATTAATGCATTATTGAATTGAAGCCAAATGCATTGTATGGCTGAAAGTGATTCGTGTTCTCTTTGCATTTCACTTTTCCTCTTTTCCACTCTTCATAATTTACTGCCTCCTCAGTTTTACCAGTGTAAACAGCACATGTAGTTATTCCCCAGCCTGGTTCTGTCAAAATGATCTAGGTTAACTTGAACACTTTTAGTAGTCATTTCTCCAACTCAACCAAAACATTGTGACAGAACTGGGTTAGGGAGCGCGCGTGGATGCCTGTGTGCCAGCAAAGCAGAAGGAAATCCTGGTAAGGGTGGGGGAAGACCCTACACTGATGGTCAGGTAAAAGACAACCTCTTAACTTAGCTGTACCCAAACAGTGCATCTGGCTGCAGTTTGACTTGTATTGAGTGAGAAAATGAAGTCTAGGTATAAGAAGCAGCAGTAGGCCAAGAAGGCTTGGTGGTAGCATAGGTCAGATTAATTTGGATGACTCAATCTAATTCATGGGGGGTAAATAAACACTTAGTGTTTTCAGCAGTAGAAACAAAAGTTTAAAAGGTATGCCATCTTCCATCATTACAGGTATCATCTGTAGGTGAGGACTCTGTTTCTTACGTGGAAGGAAAAGTCTCTGAGACATGTTGTAATTTCTTGTATTTTAACTTTTAATTTTTGAAGTCTATGTAAAGCAGGAATAAAATTTGATATCTACAGAAAAGTGTCCAGAAAGAGCAGGTCCCACTATGTTTCAAAGTCCTGTAGGAATTTGCTCAGATCCCATCTGTAACAGACTACCTCGGATTCAGACTTTGGTGGCCCAAAAACTGTATTGAGTGGGTGGATTCTACTTACATTTGACCCAGTATGAGGATAAATATTTTGTTCCTGTGACGTCAGGCTGTCTGACTCTCAAGTAATATCAATTGTTGGAAAGATGTGTCTGGCAGGGCACAGACCATGGCTCTCTAGTTGCAGGATGAATGCCACATGCACAGAGAAAGGGTTTTTCATACCTTCTGATTTTGCCTGGAAGGTAGGTTGGAACAAGGAATGAAAAAAACATGATGCTTCTGTCCTTCATCTCTTAAATGACAAGGCAAGGATTCTCTTCTCAAAGTCTTCCAGTACCTTGCACTGTGTGAAATTGATTCAGGTAAGGGTTTCATAACAGTTGAAAGATCTCTTTGTAAACTAAGGATAACACTGGCAAAAAAAGACAACTGAGAGAACAGGATTATAACAAATACATTACTGTGAATAATAGCCAGTGAGGTATTGAACGTAAAGCTTACTATATTAAAGATACTTAAGGAAAAGAATGTTGTTCAGTGGAAACCTGTTCTGTTGCTCTAGCTGTGCCCGAATCTGATATGATTTTCTATTTGTGTAATGCTCCCTTAGCATTACTCAGTGCTCTCTGTCTCAGTAGAAATAGTTTTTCTTCCCAGTTCTTTGGGTCTTTGCTGGTCAAAGATGTTTTTAGATAACCTGCAGCCACTTAGGCAATGCCATTAGCTCAGAAGAGTGGAAATCTGCTCAAATGCAGTCAGCCAGAGCATAAGTTTCTGCTTCTACTCTTTTATCTAGAGCGTTGCCAAAGTTATACAAAAGTTACCAAACTTATGCAAAAGAAGCATAAAGAGCTCCTTACTGGAGTAAGATGACAGAGGTTAGAGTGTCTCACATATGAGTCATAATTGCATGATGCTTTTGTATAGTTGGTCTGAAATAGTCTTTCTTGAAGCAAAGGTCATTAAAGGTGTGCGTACTTTTCAAAGTGTTGTGTGAAATTTTAAATGTGTGACTTCAGTCTGTGGTTCAACCCAACTGGAAAATATTGCTCTCAGTATTCAGATGCTGATTGCAAACTAATACTGTCAATTTTTCTTGAAGACAGAATTTGTTTTCTGAGTGTTGCTCTAATAGTTGTGTGCATCACTGTCAGAACTATAAAGTCTGTTTTTTACATCTTAATTTGTTGTAAACTTCCATGACTTTGCCAGAATTAGAAATTGGAAGCAATTGTATCTTCTGTGTTCATCTTAATTTGTGTTAGTTTAAGAGAAAATAGTATGCAGTGGACAGATTAAATTTAACAGAACAACCAATCAGGTATCCTTTAGTGAGTTGTAGCATGCTAAGATTAAAAACCTAAAAGTATAGTTAATCATTTTGGAATCATTCTGGATCATTTATACAAAGTTTGTTGTATTTCTTGTTGTATAGAAGATATACAGTGTTTACTATCTGTCTGTTTTTACTATTCGTGCAGTGAGAAAGATTTTTCCTTAAAAAGAATTTGAGATCTTTATTACAGAGATTCTGTTGTCCTTGAAGTGGATGGATCATGGCCAAGGGGCTTTTATGAAAATACTGCTAACAAGAAAGGATGAGGAATTCATGTGACTAAGAAATCATTTGAAATGCTTTTTCAAGTGTTTGGAACACAGATTTTGTTTGTGTGGACATTACAAAAAGGAGTATGTTGTATTTTTGTCATTTTGTACAATGATTTAAGCTGCAGGTCTGACAGTCCTCACCAGGATTCAGACAACCAAAAAGAGAATGACAGCTGTACTTATGGCATTTCCAGCTTGAGCACCCCATCCATTACATAAGGGGCTTAAATGTCCACAGCTCCTTGTTAGACTGCAGAGAGGATCTGCTTAATTTGCAGGCCTGGCTCACAGGATAGCTCAGTGAGGCACTTTTCAATCACTTAGCTGAATTCTCTTTTATACCACTGAGCATAATTTCATTGAAACACACTGAATGACAGTAGTTCCAGTGTTCAGAATTTTGAGGGGCACAATCCTGACAGCAGCAGGTGGGCCTGCTTCTGTAATCTGCATCTCTGCACATCCCATGGCTTTGGGGATCCAAGCTTGTGGTTCCCTGTTTCTTCTATCGATTTCTAGAAACAGTTTTTAAAGCTCTGTATGTTTTTAGTATCAGCAATATCATGTGATGCTGTAATTGTGCACCGTGGGAAGGAATACTCCATTTTGTGGTTTAACTGTTTTCTGATATCATAGAACCATAGAATGGTAGATTTTCAAAGAATTTCATTCGTTCCCTCCATAATTCCTGTATTGGAAGAGGCACTTAATTATTGTTTCCCAGTTAATCACCTCCATCCCATCATAAGCCTACTTTCATACATCCCACTTGTCCTTTCTGACAGCAGGAGAGCCTCTTCTGTCTAATCACTTCTCACATGGGAGATATTCATTATCTTTGGTCACCACTGACTTCCTTTGTAAGTTTCTTTTCAGTTTCGTCTCCATTTTCAGACGGTGAAGCCCAAAAAGCCCGTATGATTGAAGGTATAAGAGTCACCAGAGACTGATATTTTATATTCATTTTTCCAAATTGCTGTTGAGCACTAAATTGGTATTTCTACGGAACTTTAAACTGTAACTTCCATATTCTGCAGTCAGTTGCCTGTTCAGAAATTGCCACTGCTATGTAAACTTATGGTTTTTCCTGTGCACGTTATGTTATCTAATAATTGAAAAGAAGCCTGCTCTGAAAAATGGCATTCTGTGTCAGGAGAGTTGGCTGGTGAATTAATTATTCACATACAATAGCATAATTAATGTAAGAATTGAATTCTATCATGGGAAGAAGTTTCCTTTTAAATAATTGAGATATGTATTAATCCCCAAGGTTTGAAATACAATCCCTTCTGCTAGCATTTTCAATATTTGTGATACAGAGCAGTGCTTTCCAACAGCTGGTCAATAGGATTATATTATTGTGTTTTTAAATGAGTTAAATTATGAAGTCATGAATTATAAAGTTGACAATAAAATGTAGAAATAGGAGAAACTAAAGGGAACTAAAAGGACCTGTTTGTCCAAACAGCCTGGAAACCACCACCATTGAATACACATGGTGAGAAGCGTAATGGATTGTTGTTCTCCTACATATGCCTTTAGGAGCAATGTGCAGAGCCCTGTAGGTGAATATCCCATCTTACTTATTGCAA